GTGAAAGTGATCGGCCCAGCGGTCCACACGCCTCTGTTGGTTGGTGATCGGAGACTCATCCACCTCACAAATGACTTTACTGACACCAGGCTTTCTGAGTCCAGTGGATCGAATGAGTTGGAAAAGCCTTCGAGTGTTGCCAGTGATGACATCAGTCTCCATCTCTACAGCACGCTCAGACCACCATGTCTCGCGATCCTTGCGTAGGCTTTGCTTAAGCAGCCGGTTGGCAGAACGGCGCCGCTCGTTGCCATCTGATTCAGCGGGGATATCTTTGCGGTGTTTGAACAGCTCCAGAGAACGAGCAGTGATCCAAGCCTTCAAGCGGCGTCGAGTTAGACCGCAGCGTCACTTTCCGGAAATGGTCATTGCCTTCCGTATACAAGTCCAGTGTTGTTCCACTTCTTGTGGTGGATTGCAACTGAGTGCGTATGCCAGTGAAGACTGATAGCTCTCCTTGACAGAGGAATCAGTTAATCTTTTTACATCAATCTTGCGGTGCTTCGTGTTTCGGGATCCTCCAAAACACATACAGATTTTCGCGCAGACCAAAGCATGATCTGAGTCAACGAAAGTAGACCAAAATGACCTGCAGTCCAGTACGCTGCTGCGCCATCTGAAGGTAATTGCAATGTGATCAATTCGAGACCACGGTTGTGTTGGCGAAGGAGGACGCCACATTGCGGAAAGCTTCTTCGTACGCCTGAAGCTAGTGCTCGAAAGAAACAGACGGTTGTCTTCGCACAATGGGAGAAGTCTCTCCCCGTTATCAGAGCGGTTCGCATCCAGCGCGTGATGACCACCAAGGTGGCGTTCGTATGGTAACAAGCGGCCAACCCGTGCGTTAAAATCCCCAGCAAGGATAACGACATCCGACTTTTCAGCATTAGTCAAGAGCTGATGTAGATCTCGGTAGAAATCGTCCTTGACCGAGTCGCTACTGCTGTCAGTTGGAGCGTGCACGGAGGTCACAAATAAGTTGCGTCTCTCTTCGCGGTGCCTGTTGATTCTACACGACCCCCGAAGCCGAACTGCACATAGTCGGCTGTTAATCAGGAACCAGTCCAATAGTGCCGCCTCGGCCTTGCCACTCAGTGCTATACCTACACCAGCCAAACCCGCTGAGCTTGCTTCTGGATCTCCAGAAAGACGCAGGTGATATCTGGCTTCGTGTTTAGTGGGGGATGTCAATGTAAGCACAGTGCTGGGATCTTGCAATCGGGTTTCTGAAAGACAGCAGACATCAATGTCTAGGGAATCTAGGGTGCGCGCTAGACCGGCTTGCTGTCCATTCTGCATGAGTGTCCGGACGTTAAAGCACGCCAGACGGAACGAGGATCGGGGACGAAGGGGAGCCATAGGTTGAACTTCTTGGTCTGCGGAGCAACCGGAATCGCAGCAAGATTGTTGAACAGATAAATCGGTTAACGGAAAGTGAGGATTGTTAATAAACAAACAATTGGCGTATGATGAAGTATCGTGAAAGTGAGTAGCAGGAACAGTAGCTGATGAGCGCGTTTTAGTGAAGTCCATGGTTTTGTGAGAGGGCGTGATACTACCCGGTTGCCCAAGCCGAAGTAGGGATTGACTTAGGGGACTCAACCCCGAGCCTTTGGCTAAATAACCTACCCGCAAGACAGCGGGGCGAATTTAGGGAATCGCGCCCATTGGGAGGCGTTGGCTGAATGATCAGCTCATAGGTCTTTGTTTGGTAGATTATCAAACAGGGGCCATACTCCCCATGAAGTCAGCACAATTGCTGAACTAAAATGCCCCACGGAGGTGGAACATTGTCGCCGAACACTTTGCTGGAACGGGGTACACCCGAACCACCCAGCTGGCCCCACGAGGAGGTAGTCCGGTAAACCAGCCACCAATAAGAATGCGGTGTGGCTGAACAAACTAATCAATGTCATCAACTGATGTAACATCCCCAGCGCTCTTGGAGAAAGTCATATTCCGGGAACGAAACGTTCAATAGGTTAAGGTACACGTTGAGATCTGCGAAGTGCTGGGCGGTTTGTTGTTTGCGCCGTATCCTGTGTGTGGTTTTTTCCACCATCGGCCTGACTGAGTCAGATATATTTTCCTCATTTTCTCTTGTTCCTACGGAACGCGGACGTATGTGATCTGAGTGCCGCCTCAAGACGCAACCATTTAACTCTAGATCAATCTGGGTACCATCACTTGTGACCACGATTGGGGACTGCCATGACTGTTCGTGTGGAAGTCGTATATACACATGCTCTCTCGGTTAGAAAACAACATTGTGATCCCTATCCAACGTAGCTATCTTGTTTTGTTGCGCTTCTTTTTGCGCTCTACCATAAGAAATACTAGGTGTCATCTGGTACGAAGTGTTCTACCGAACAGCAGTTTTGCGGGAGATTTACCCGTGGCTTCTGTTGGAGTTATTCTATAGACAGAAAGTAATCGGTCTAATCACCTTTGTATGGTTCCCGATAACTGCTTTAGCTGACCTCTTTCTACCGTCTGCATCGCCCTTTCGGCTAATTCATTTGACGCAGCATGATATGGGGCTGTACGCATGTGTTGAATGCCCTTGCTCTGCATAAAGCCTTCAAACTCCTTACTGGTGACACAGGACCCATTGTGTGTACAAACGGTTTCAGGTATTTCGGAAACCGAAAACGATGGTCGCATCTTTTAACTGGTTGTTTCAGTCGTGGGATGGGACACTGGATCAAGATTGATCCATTACGAATAGGCATCAGCTATCAAGGGGAAAAATGTTCCCCTCAGAGGACCAACATAGTCTGCATGGATACGCTAATATGGCCTTTCAGGCCAACGCCAAGGGTGTATTGAACCTGGAGGTTCATTCTACTGATATTGCTGGCAGAGATCACACGTTTTCAATTAGCTTTCAATTTCGGCTTCAAAGTCGGGCCACCAACGATAACCGCGTGCAAGGGCCTTCATTCGGCCAACATGTGGATGTCCATTGTAAAGTTCATTTAGAATGAAGGAGCGCGCTTTCGACGGTGGAACCCAAAATAAGCAACCATCGTGTATATTCAATTCATTTTTCCGAAGCCCAGAAGGTTTCACATCGGCCGGGATTCTACTAGGCGAGCCCAGTCTTGTGAAACGTATTATGGAGGCTAGTTTGGATCCCGATCGGTCCATCAACGTGACGTTACTTGTTACAGGGGTAGTGTCGAAGTACTGCATCAAATGAACTAAATCCACCGGTTCACTTATTGGTCCTGTGGGGGTCGCGTGCGATAACCGACTCAGGACATCCGCCCTACAAATTTTAGAGCCTGGAATGTACGATATTTTGTGTTCATACGCACTAACAATTAGGACCCATCGTTGCATTCTAAGCGAAATCATTTGATGGATCCCTTTGGATTCACGCAATAAGGATATCAACGGTTTGTGAACACTTTCGATCTCATAACGACTGTCCCAAATATACTGGTTAAATTTTTTGACACCAAAGATAACTTATAGGGCCTCTCGATCAAGTTATGAATAATGTTTTTTAGCCGGTTGTAAGGCACGTGAATCGAAAGCAATCGGATGCATTGCACCATTCAGCATTTTATGATATAAAAGCTGCCCGGGCGAAAGTAGAAATTGCTTGGAAAATCCACTAGTTTAGCCATTAATCAGTTAGTAACGATAATTGCATCGACTTCAAACGTTCTGGAGTGTTCTGAGTTCTGTACGTGACTACCAACCACCTGACATCCCGGTCAAATCGATGGGGAACCACTAACATTGCTAGTCGGCCTTACAATTCCAGAAGTCGGTCAGTAAGGGAGCTATAAATACAGCCAAGGACCGCCGCAGTTCTACAGTGTTTTGTTGGCGGTGATTAACACGTTATTTTGTCGAGGTCCTTGGTGTTCTGCTTTTTCCTTCGGTTGGGCTGGGAGCTTTGTGGAGCAGTAAAGTGCAGTAAAGTGGTGCAGTAAAGTGGCTTGCTAGCCGAACAACCTCCTCGTGGTGCCAGCTGGGTGATTCGGGTTTAACCCGTTCCAGCAAATAGTTCGGCGGCAGTGTTCCAGGACGTGGTGGGTTTTCGCCTGGCAAGCGTTCTCCCTATAAAAGCCACAAATGTCTGCTTAACAACACTGCGACGTGGCGGATGTGACTCGCCACAAACTAAAGTCACTGGCCCGTGGATATTCGGGAAATGCTATCCAACCCACGAAAATCAATCGCTTATTCTCACATTTCAGACGATAACAAACAGTAAAACATTCTGCGGCGCATTCAAAACCACAAGCTACATTCCTACACAATTACATACGTATATACACCCATATACTTACAAACACTGTTATGCCAAACATGTCCTTTTGTACAGTTTGATCACACTATGTTCGCTAAATATGATCATGCCTGTAAAGGTATGCCTCGAGTTGTCGAGAATAAATTTTATTTATTTATTTATTTAATTTGGGAATCGGGTCTCGTGAGATTATATCAGAACCCCTTCAACTTCGTGTGGAAATGCGTCACATTGAATGATCAGAGGCTTTTTTCTATCCTAGTGAGTGGACTGGCGCTAATGTTAAACAGTTTTTTGCACGAATGAATGCGGACTGCTGCTCATCATTTTTTATCTAGCAATGCATTCAAAAGAGTTAAAATAGATGATGCCCCCAGTAAACAAAAACAATAGTGTGGTAGCATCCTGAGAATGATAAGAGTTGATCAGCATTCTTCGGCTGCGGTGCCTGTGTAACCGGGGATACTTTATCCTGCAAAACATGCAGACCTCTCTTATTAAGTTTATAGCCAAGATAACTAACAGATTCAGACAAAAAACACATTTAGATTTCTTCAGTTTCAATCCAATCAATTCCAAACGCTGCAGCACCGCCCGAAGTGCCTTTAAATGTCCAGCCAGAAACCAGGATATCATCCAACTAAGCACAACTGAAGGGTATATCCTTCATGATGTCATCCACAGTCCGCTGGAAGATGCTGAGGGGGAGCTTATTCCGGAAGGGACGGATATAGTCCAGGACTTGTAATTATGGTGGTGAATTCGAGTGAGTCCACATCAAGTTCCAATTGAGAATATGCGTGAGTAAGATCAATGTTAGAAAATTTTGGCCACCGGATAATGTAGAGTACAAATCTTCGATGCGTGGCAAAAGATACCTTTCCACTTTAGCAGCTTGATTGACAGTTAACTTATAGTCTCCACAGATGCGAATGGTACCGTCGGGTTTGAGTACAGGAACAATTGGGATACACCAACCCGAGTGTTGTACAGGCATGATTACGCCTTCAGATTGTAGCCGTTGTAGTTCTACTTTAACTTGGGGACGCATCGCTTACGGTAATGTTCGCGCTCTGTAAAACTTGGCATTGGTGCTCTGCCATAGATTAATGGAAGCTTTGAATGCTTCAGCTTTCCCAACTTATTTTCGAATAGAGAAGCAAATTGGTTCAACAGATCGTTTAGACTGCTGTCATTGACCGCAACCTCATTAATCGGTATCGTTTCTGGGAAGTATCGGATTCAGTTTCTGTCCAAGAGATTTGGTCATTTTCCAGGTACTACGATCCAAGGTAGCGTTAAATCCCGCTCGCCGTGCCTGACTTTAACCATGCATTTTTCCCAAACCCTACTCGGGTCGTCCGTGTAGGTTTGCAATTTGGAGTCGCATGGATGTAAGAGCGGCAGAATCTTAAATGAGTCACTGTTTATAGTGGTAACTGCAGCCCCTGTTTCCAGTTCCAGTTCGATCGGTTCACTCTCGACCATCAAACGAATCGTACATGGAGGGCACCTGTCAAAGGGGTAGTGTCGCGGTACTGCTTTAAATGAACTAACTCCACCGGTACATCTATTGGCTCTGCGGTGGTCGCCTGCGGTTGTTGAATCAGGACAATTGTTCAGGATGTTGCGAAGAAGCAAGTATTGGTATTCCAAATGATATATTTTATTGCTGCTAAGTTTCCATAACGGAAGAAAAGAGGAAGGCTGCCAAGGAACACTACAATGACACTGGCTGGATGTTCTCAGCCAGAGTTCAAACAGAGGTCTGTATTGATTGCTTGGGTGTCATAAATTTGCACCTTTTTAACTGAAGGATCAGGTGCTTACGTCTGGTATTTCCATAATGCAAAGAAGAGCTAAACGTAGCAAAACACCTTAAAAGTCCTACACAGTTGATGATTACTTATAATAATCATGGTTGCACGTGGGCTACGATATTATCATTGTACCCAAACATGGGCGAACAACCAGGGATCCCAGCCAAAACGGTAGACTCCAAATGCTGTTCATAATGCTGCGAGATTAAAACGAACTGGTTTTACGAAATGGAAGCTACTTGGTTCCCTACCACCCATCTTGATAGAAAAGAGATTGAGTTCATCAAATCTCTAACAAACGATCAACTTGGTAGTGGCAGCTCACAAAAGGCGCACACACACAACCTCATAGCTCTTAGCGTAACCCTCTTGGCGTCTTCACTAACTCGTCTTTGGAGGTGGTAAGTGGTCTATTTCAACCAAAGCACCGTGATCCTCCAAAGACTTTGTCTTTATCTATGACATGAACAAAAGTACAAGTACATTTATTCACACGTATTCCATCCTAACACTGTTTTCCTTTTCCTTCATGTATAGTTATCGGCCCAGCAAAAGTCATGAGCATACTGCGATAGCCGTAGTTGATGTTACCTGTCATGATCTGTCACTCGGTATGCAATTCCGAATGAACTGAACTCGTCCTCTGTTATCTACCAATCCCACTTTGTTGATAAAAGTCTCATGTACCAATAGCTACTGAAACGGATACCAATAGTAAAAATCAGTGGATATTTATAGGCCAACCCGGAAATGTTCGCACTTCAGAACAAGTAGGTCAGCTGCTGTGATCCACAGTTTACTTCCGCTAACAAATGAGAAGGTAGGGTCGTGCGCCGTGCAGACATGAGCGGTACAGACGCGATCGTTCCTGAAACTTGGCTGTTTGTTTGGTACACCATTGGCAAAAGTCGTTGTCCCATTGATATAATGAATTTTCCTGGAAGATTTTACTGTCCGAAACATTGCCATTGCGTGTATGGTTCATTGTGCACGTTGCTTCGTATTCGTCCTTGTGAGCATCTTTCATTGCACTCTCAGTGGTAGATCAATTTTTGGAAATAAACTCATCCGGGAGCATAGAGCTTTGTTTGACCTAACTCTTAAACACGATAGGGCTTAACTGACATTTCTCAAATTGAATTTAATTGCACTTGAAGGACGCAATCACCAACAGGTCCCGTGCTGACCCGCAACGTGACAAACGTCGTGCTGGAGAAATTACAGTACAATCGCAGGCTACGAAAGGATGATGCTGGCTAAGAGGGCACTATGACGAACTACATTTAGAATTGCACAAAAATCGTCACTAATCAAACAGCACAAAATATCTGTCCGTAGAAATTCTAAGTGTCGTGTCGTACTTAGTCGCTGTACCGAGTGTTGTCGCACTGGGGCCAATCACTCTCCTCTGCACAGTTCGTAGCTGAGATGGCAGTGAGGGTGCGCTGCGCTATATCGCAGTCAACTGTCAGTTTTGCAGATTCTCCGCCGTCACCCATGGCCCAATGGTGCAAGCTGCTGGCATCCGGATGTCATGGGTTTGGAATCCAGTAGAACACCGAGGAACGCGCACCGCTGGCAAGACCCAAAAGGTCCAAACAACTGTCCGGTGCTCTTACAGGCATGTGGGAACCTGCGTGTCTGAGAGAGAACTGCGACGAACTACAGCTAAAAGTACGCCAAAAATCCCCACTAATCATCAGCAAAGTGAAATTCACCCCAGTAGCAGCTTAATGCACGTGAAGCATTGATCGGCCCCCATCGTGTCTAATCCTAGTGGACCGTTTGGGATTGTTATGTAAGCGTTAACGCGACCCATGACAGCAATCGACTCAGACGACCAATTGTGGGAAATGAACGCAACGTTCTTATTTGATCTCATTAATGCGTGGTGTGGGCACAGCGAAATATGACACAGAATGCAACTACTAAAGTAAGTAACCTGAATAAGTTAGTTGAACTGAATAGAAGACGACCAGTAAGTGGCCGCGAAAACGAATTCATGGAAGCCAGATTTGATTTTTGTCCACAATGCACCTATTTCCCAAAAGAACAGTCACACGTAAATAAAAATATGCTACAATCTCGTTCTTTAATTCCGTATGAAGCAAGTAGATCATCATATAAACGTGAAGGATATCATTGTGGTAGGGACGACGTTTGAAATCCAGCCAGCGTAAAACGATGGCCAGGATGTTGGCAACAACAAAAATATAACTGGGCGATCAATTAATAGAACCATTCGGAACAGCTGAAACCACGCTAACTCTACCTCGTCTACCTAGACAAATACACACATGCCAAGTGGTGCACTTTTCCAATAATCGAAACACGAGGACAGACACAAATTCGAACTGGTTCCACAATTCGTTTATGATGTCAGCCTGGTGTGAACGCACGCACCGAACCCACATAGTCTTGCGAAATTCCAACTATATCCGTGTAATCAATAAAAAGTTTATTTTAATGCAATATAAGAAAAGAACCTAGACGATTGTGAAGTCGGCGGATTAAGGCCGCCGAAGGGATAAAATAGTATAGCCGAGAAGAGTTAAAAGTGAGAGGTCGTGAACTACGGAAGAATTATCAAGAGTATTGTCTAGGAGAACTGCTCCGGAAACTGGTTGATGAACATCCGCGGACGGCATAAAATTAACGATCGTGCTGACTGACGTCTGCGATTGTGAATTCGTGGCTGTCACTGGTTAGGCACTGTCCTCTACAATCGTATTTATGTGAATGACGATTGAGGGTAACTTGTGCTATATCCCAGTCAGGCTGCGAGCTTTGGTGGTCTGCTACCTTCCCTCTTAGCAGTGGCATTAGCTGCTGGCCAGTTGACGTAAGCTACTAATGGCTATGGACTCGATTCCCTGATGGTGGCAAAGGGAACGCGCACCAGTGAGGGGTTCTTAAAGGGTGTTTCTACGGATTAGTCGTTAGACTACCTGGCTTGTGAGCAGATGGGGCGAATAAGTGAGATTTGCATTCGAAACCATACAAGTGAGAGATCTCGTGGATGTATACGCACAGGTAGATAGTTTACTGAATCGAGGTTCTATTAATCACATTGTGCGCCTCGACCTGAATGCAACGCATATAATTATCCAGATTCTAGTCATCACCAATGTAATAATAAAGAAAAGCAGAAAGAGGCAGGATGATGAAAACAAACACTTCGAGTACAAGCAAAGATTAGACTGATGGAATGTAAATTGGACTAAACAGACGGTTGTCGAGATTTCAATGAATGCTCAGTAAATTGATATTACAGAGCGGTAAGTTTGAATAAATCAGTCCAAACGGCAGTATATCGAACGGCCAAAAGTGGAGAGTACAGACAAACATGTCTACATATCGTGTGGCTCAGGATCGTGTCAACAATCGGAATGAGTGGAATGACCGCTCTGTACTCAAAGTGGATGAACCATCGGATACCTCAGGAACTCATTGATGTAAAGATGGCGTTCGACCTGTAAATATCAAACCAGGACATTCTAATTGAATTACGAGAACGCGATAGAAAATATTGGCAGGGTGGTACTTCCGTACTCACTCAGAAATAAGAAGCTTGAGAGAAGAATCAAGGTAGCAGACCATTCTGATACCGTTGTAAGTTAACAGAATACAAATAAGTATGTTAATGGGGAATTTATCTCGTTGCCATTGTTACATCGGATGCCTTTTACTCGAAACTATATCCTCACCACCTGTCTAGGTTGAACGCCTTTTCATCGTATGACCATGCATTATATACACTCCATGGAACCAGACCAGTGTTAATTGTGTGTTGACCACATGAAGCATGAAAGTCAGTATTAAGTTAACCTCTATACATTGAGCATATACACTTTTACTCCGCAATGGTAGCCAAATGACTTGTTGACCGAAATAATACTGGACATGTGGCGGGGTTCCGCAATGTGCGCAATCCAACAAACCCCGTAATCGCTACACTTTACGGCTCTACAGTCCTTTGATTATACAACATCTGCTCTATCAGTGTAAGCATTTTTGTCCCACATCTCAGTTTTACGTGCGCACGCGCCTATGCCTCTTACAGTTTGTCCCCACGGACCAGCGCTCACGGATCAACGTTTCCGTTTTGTATCAACCCCTTTCTCACCTATTTACATTCACAAACACGCATCATGCCTACCCTTTGGAAAATGCTTCCACTGTTTTCACATATCACAATCAGGAGTGTCTGTCTAACCATCGATTGATCAGTTCTGAGCTAACCAGTTCACC